AAAAAAAAAAAAAAAAGAAAAATACTTTTCTTTCCATGATGTTAAGAGCTAAGGATAGGCTGGACATGGGGGCTGGCTCATGTCTATAATTTTAACACTCAGGGAAGCCAAGGCAGGAGGATTACTTAAGGTCAGGAGTTTGAGACCAGCCTGAGCAAAAGCAAGAGCAAGACCCTTTCTCTACCAAAAAAATAGAAAACTAGGCAGGCATGGTGACACACACTTGTGGTCCCAGCTACTTGAGAAGCTGAAGCAGGAGGATCTTTGAGCCCAAGAGTTTGAGGTTGCTGTGAGCTATGAGGATGCCACTGCACTCTACTCTGGGCAAAAGAGCAAGACTCTTGTTTATTTATAAATAAACAGCTAATGACATACAATCACTAGTTGGTTGTATTGTAGAGAGAATTCTAGTGAGACGTCTGACTACATGGCACCAAGATTTATTCATTCATTCTACAATTATTTATTGAGCCCCTTATTATATACAGGCACTTTTTTAAGAGGTAGGATATGACAATGAACAATAACAACAAAAAATTCTCTGCCTTCCTGGGGCTTAAATTCTAGTGCAGGAAGAAAAACAAGAAAAATAAAAAGTAAGTAATATTATTATCTAGTGGGGATAAGTGATATGAAGAAAAATTTAAGTAGGGGAGGCCATAGGGAGTGGAAGCTGAAGGGAAGAAGGCTAGGACATAGACATCTGGGAAAAGAGGCTAAGGTTTCTGGTACCCCTCAGATCACACTACCCTACTACAACATATGCCTAATCAAACATTGACCAGTCTACCTTGGGAGCCTCCTGTTACCCGAGAGGAGCTATAATAACATGGACAAAGGGTATAATGTGGCATCCAGGGTGCAAAGTTGTGAGACTTTCTACTACTTTGTTTACTTTGATTCACAGGTTTTTTCAGACCCTAAAGCAGCAAAGAAGATGGAAGACAAGGAAGAGAATGAGGAGGTTATTTCACCTGATTCCCCCAAGGTACTGAAATCTAAGTCACTAACATTATTATGCCCTTAGTCTTGATTCCCATGAAATGCGAAGGCCCTAGGAGAGCAAGATACAGAAACTTTTTCTTAAGCCAGGCACAGTGTGGCATGCCAGTAGTTCCAGCTCCTCCTGAGGCTGAGGCAAGAACATCACTTAAGACCAGGAGTTCAAGGCTGTAGTATGCATTGATGGCACCTGCAAATAGTCACTTCACTCCAGCCGGGCAACATAGTGAGAACCTATTTCTAAGATAAATTAAACTCTTAAAACCTAACTTTTCCTTGGTCTTGAGACAGCTGTGCTGATAGAAATATGCAGGACATGTGGGCAGTGAATAATAACATGATAAATGCAGGGTTCTGAACAGGTAAAGTATATATCAGTTCTCATTTTTCTCCACTGAAAAGAGCAATTCAATGATTAGGAAAATCCAAAATTAATTCCATTTGAGGCCAGGCACGGTGGCCCATGCTTGTAATTACAGCACTTTTGGATGCCAAATCGGGAGTACTGCTTGAGTCCAGCAATCTGAGACCAGCCTGGGCTATATAATGAGATCCTGTCTCAACAAATTTTTTTTTTAATTAGTCAAGTGTGTTGGTGCACACTGTAGTCCTAGCTACTCAAGAGGCTGAGGCAGGAGGATTGGTTGAGCCCAGGAGTTTGAGGTTACAATGAGCTGTGGTTGTGCCACTCCATCTTCTACAACAGATCTCAAAAAAATTTTTTTTCCTATTTTACTCTGTATTGAATTATATGGTTTTAGATGTCTGATCATTTTAAGGAATAGGCTAGTAACACTGTCCTCCCTGGGAGAGGAGTATAGGACCCAAGCTCGTATCCCCTGAGGCTGCCTTACTCCCAGCCTCTCCAATGGGACTGCTTTGGTCATCTAAGGTGACACATTTGTCCTGTGGAATTAAGCAACTAAAGCATTTTAGACCCTGTCAGTGTCACCAATCAAGACACACTCACTTCCCTTGCACATGCATCATAAAATTGTATTTTCTCTCAAGCAGAATTAGGAAAGAATCTCATGTAAAAATGGGAAATTACAAATGGAGAAAAATCTATTCTTGTTCAGCATTTGAATCATCTGAGAGAGAAGTTTTTGATAACTTTCTGGGAGGTAGTATTACCTTTGAGCTGATTTATGGCCTGGAAAAGGAAAAAGGAAAGGAGAAATCACAGAATTTCAAGTGGCTATCACACTGTTAGAAATTGGTTCTTTTTTTTTTTTTAAGAGATAGAGTCTCACTTTGTCGCCCTTGGTAGAGTGCTATGGCATCACAGCTCAAATTCTTGGGCTTAAGCTATTCTCTTGCCTCTGCCTCCCAAGTAGTGGGGACTACAGGCACCTCCCACAAGGCCCGGCAATTTTTTTGTTGCAATTATCATTGTTGTTCAATCCCACCAGACTCCATGTAAGTGGCTGGTGCTGTAACCACTGTGCTAAAGGTGCCAAGCCATGGTTCTGTTTTAAAAGATGAATTTAATAGTGTGTGAATTAAATTTCAGTTAAAAAAATAAATTTGGCTCAGTGCCTGTGGCTCAAGTGGCTAAGTCGCCAGCCACATACGCCTAAGGTGG